TGAATTCAATCTGAATGTTTTCAAATTTTGGTCAGCATAGTTTTGAAACTTAAAATTGTTGCCTATCCTAGTGATTCAAATTAGAAAACCAATTGAAATTGAATCTATTAGTTGTTGAATTTCGACTTTATGCTAGCAAATGAGAAGACACGTTTGGAAATGCAACTCAGAGATTACGTACAAAGACTCTAAACTCTCGCTTTTCTTGTCACCCACGAAAATTTATTATTATTCACGATTTACGAGCAGCACAATGATGACAGAATAGGAAAGAGTAAAACACACATTGGAGCAAAAACACAGTGAACATAGTCACTTTTCTCTAATCTTTCATCTGCATAACACGTATTATTAACATTCTTCTTTTATTTATCTTCCCACAGCAAATATGTGTGGTGGTTTTGCACGTATAGACAATTGGGACATACCTGGAAATGACCTATTAGCTTCTCCTGTACGACAACCTGATTATGCTAGCTGTTGCTCACAATGTCAAACAACTCCTGAATGTATTGCTTTTACATATTCGCCATCAAGTCAACGATGTTCGCTGAAAAAAAGTATGGGTAGTGGTGGGTACTCAACTGGCGATAGCCTTACTGGTTATTATTGTAAGTGAATTAACTTAAATCCAGTGTTTGTCACAAGAATATGTAGGGACAGAGACATTCGTTGTAGAATGTCAATGTGCTTGTGAGTATGGCTGTGGATGTGGAACATGACTTTCGTTAGATTTGACTGTAGCTGTGGTTTAGGCGTGACTCCAGAGATAAACCACACTCACACTCACAACGATTTCCCCAAACTCACATTCACATGCGTTTTTATCTAGCTTGTGTGCTTTCTGCTTACTGCAGTTAAGAGTGAAAAATTCGAAGCATGCTGGATGTAGGTAGGTAGGAGAGTAGGGATGAGTATGTTTTGAATAAGACAGTCATTCATACCCATATCTAAAATATCGACTCTTTTGGAACCTATTGCTAATCATCGTAAGATTATTTATGTTGTTTTTGACAATTATCCTTTGTGTGACGATATGTGTAATTGTATAACACTTTGTTCCTACAAACAAGCCATTTTTATAAACAATCTTACAAACATCAAATTTTAATCTAAAGAATGTAGAATGTAATTATTAATAACATTTTTTTCACATGAACTACAACACATTACTGTCGCTAAAAGCATATAGTCAAATTCTTTATCAATGAAAAGAGTAAGCTTTAATGATAAGTTATTTTCTTTAGTGAAAATACATGCTACGTTTCAACTAGAAATAATTTTTTTTTCAGGATTATTTTAATTTTCTGTCGCTCTTCTCTGTTGCCTCGAATTAGTTTGAATTTTTATTTTATTTTAAAGTCGAATGATATGTCATTCACGTTCAATTAGAATATCATAACATAATTATATAACAGATAGTAGTGAAAGAATATCTGCCGTACTGAAGTCATTTCAGATCAGCTAGCAAAGAAATAACTTTTTATTGATGAATGATTTTCTCATTAAAGTATATAATAAAATTCAAATGCTTATTTCGATAATAAAGATAAATACTTTTATGATTACGAATAACTAAAAACTTAATACATTATTGATATAGGATTTAGATCACATAAATGGATATTAGTGAATGGAGTTGGTCGTAGACATGCTCGATAATCGCTTGACGCATTAATTCAATTTGCACTTTACATAAAGGAAGTCATTCGGATTAAAGGAATTTCAGAAATTTTCATGACTGACTTTTTTCCAAAGACTTAGATTGGTTTACAGATCTGATCATTTATATCAATATCTAATGGAGGATAAAGCCCCTGACACATTAGAAGACCCCTATAATAGAAGTTCCCTCTTTGATAAATGAAATAAAAGATATATTAGAAGGCTCTTCAGAAAATCATGTTTTTTTTTTAAATGATTTCTGAAGCCTAGCCACTTTTTTTAGTATTTAAGTGCATAATAATATCTAAGTTCATTATGAGCAACACTTTAGTATCGTCATGGCAGTGAGTTCAAAAAATCTTGAGAAACAACTAGTAGGAAACAAGTGTTTATAAAATAATAGGTTTTTCAAAAAATATGTAGCGGAGTCATTTTAGTGGTTTTTTTTAGCTTACTCTGGAAAAATTCGATCATTTCTCAATACGAAAAAACCTCTATATGATCATACGATCTAATAGATTAAGTGCACAATCGCGGGTGTAATAAATGAAGAGATCTATATAAAATGCTAACATATTAGATAAAATTTCGTTTTGTATTAATTAAAAATCTTTTTCACCTGTAATTTTCTTCTAGAGGTTCACGAACATCTTTACCCCAAAACAGATTTTCATAATTGAAGCAAACCTAACTTCACCTATACACATTGGAGTATGCTCTGTGAATAGTGATGCATTTGAGAAAGCGGTTCTTTTTTTGAATATGATCTGAAAGCATTTTTCGGAACAACGAGAAAGGAAAATACAGCAGGTATATTCACCCACTATGTTGCCAGGGACAATATAATTCTTTAGAAAAAAAGAACTCTATTAGATATTTTAAAATAATGTTTCGTTCTCATTTTTCGCAGGAGGAGCAAATGAAATAAATTCGTTTATTAAAGATATATTGAGTACAAATTGACTGAAACTAAAATTTATTGGTAATATTGACCAAAATTTGCTTTTTTAAGGGATACGTTAGAAGACTCCTCTTGCAACTTATGAACGATAAGACAAAAAAAGAAGATCTTGGATATTTTCATGCGTCGGGAGCTTCACTGAAGTGCTGGTTGCTTTTTTCTTGAGTTATAATAGTTTTTGCTTTCAGTTGATAATGTAACAGCTTTTCAAGTTATAATTTTCCATCTCTCGCTTTCGCATTTGTTAGTTTCTTTATTCAAAAATCAGTTTATTTTCGTCTTGTTTCGAATTAGTTTTATTGATCTTATTTATGCAGAACTCCTATGTACCTGACTAAATCAAGTCACGCAGTGTTTATTGACTTATCGTTTATCTCGATCTAATGACTATTTCGTTCTGCTCACGTGTGATCGATTTTCTTCACATGAACTGTCAGTTAAACCGATGCTTCAAAACTCGTATACTGTATTTATTGTCGTGAGATTTGCTGCCATAAACAATCTTCAGAAGACGCGGTTTGCCTAGATTCAATTTTAAAACAGAATAAGTTTGTTTAACTGCTTTTTTTCCTTTATTGCCCATCTCCCGCTCATAGTAAATATCCCTTGTAAAAAATGCATCAGAAAAATCATATTATTAATCGATTATAATGGCACTATTATAACCTGGTCGATTTTAACTGATTTTTTTCTATGATCAATCGTAATCGGTTAAGAAACATCAAAATCTCAAAAGTTTGATTTTTTATGTGGAAAAATCAGGTTATAATTGTGCCATTATAATCGATTAATAATCTGATTTTTCTAATGTCTTTTTTTAAATGGGATAATTGAATTTTCTTTAATGAAGTTGCTAAAATCTAATTGTATACCTATAAAGAAAAGGTTACATTAAAATTCATATGAGTTCCTGTTAGTCGATAAAAGGATGTGGAATTTCAATGTTTTCTATATATATATATAGGCGTACTCATAATTGCATCTTTCATAAGGCTTAAAAAACCTCATTGTTCGTAATTGAATGACTAGCATGATCTACTTCTCTTTTCAAAAAAGAAAAAATTTTATTTATTTGTACAAATGATTTATTAGTAAGGATGACTTACATTTCAAGAGATTCATATAGTCTCTGAAGATATTTTAACTCTGCTAATATCTTTTTAAAAGTCTTTTCTGAAGCCCACTAATTCAAATATAAGATCAAAGGTAGTTGAAAAAAAGACGTTTTTTCTCAATCATATATTAGTAAATCCATAATTACACGAAGTACAGGATAAAACAAAATATCTATCAATAGTTATTATAAGATAAATTAAGTAATACAGAAAATGAAAAAGAAACAAAACAAATAATTTTGTGGAATTCACATATATTTTCGCAGAAAACAGTGAGTGTAAGGTTTAAACCGAAGTATCGCAGCTTTCTTCAGTTCTGAGACCCTAGCAACCCTATGACACGAAACTATACATTATTGGATATGTATCCATAGCAACTGTTACTCCACCCTTTCCTCATTACCGACCATTACAAACAAATTAACTATTTCGCTAATGAGAGAAATTGTGAGTTAATTAATTAATAACTTTTTAAAATACTTTCAAATATATTTTTAGTACTTATTAATATTTAGTATTTAAATATTCAATATTTGTTAATATTTTTCAGTATTTATTAACATTTCATATACGTTGTTTAAATATTATCTTTATTAAGTAGATAAAAATGATACATTCAAGTTGTATCAGACAAAAAAGCATTACTTTTGCAGGAGTTATTAAATATGGGGTTTTGATTAAAGAAAATTTCAGAGCGTACTTATTAAATATAAAAATTCTTACAACTTTCATTTATTCATTTATTCAATATTATTTTAATACGTTATTTTGAAACTTTAGATGATTTGTGATGAATTCATAACAGTCAGAGATTGTGAATTCCACATTTCAGGATTGAAGGAGCTGCACTGGCAAGGTTGTTTGACAACACCACCTTCATTATCAGAAGAGAAAATCGAAAACGACCCGAAACTTTGATCAATTTTGATTTTGCGAAAATTCAAATGAACTTTTCACTTTTTTCTCTCTATAATCTCTCTTTCTCTCCTCTCTTATCCTATTATTTTATCCTCTCCTTTCTCTGTATTTCAGTCAATCCATTACGTAGAAGTTCCATTGACATTCACCCAAATGCTCGATGGCAACAGGATGGCATCACTGTAGCTGGAGGAAATGGATTAGGTAGTGAATTGAATCAACTCTCTTACCCATGGGGTTTATATGTTGATGACGATCAAACAATCTATGTCGTTGATAAAGGCAATCATCGTATTATGGAATGGAAATGGAATGCAATCAGTGGTCAAGTAGTTGCCGGTGGAAACGGACAAGGAAAAAGGGATGATCAGTTGTCTAACCCATATGATGTGATTGTTGATAAAGAGAGAGATAGTCTCATCATCTGCGATTCTTCAAATAAAAGAGTGGTTCGATGGACTCGTCGGAATGGAATAAAGGGAGAAACAATAATCTCCAACATCAGCTGTTGGGGTTTGACAATGGACGAGAATGGGTCTCTCTATGTTGTTGACGATGATAGCAATGCAGTGCGACGATATCGAAGAGGAGAATCTAAAGGAAAAGTAGTTGCAGGTGGCAATGGAATTGGAAATCGTCTCGATCAATTCTCTCACCCACGATACGTATTCGTCGATCGAGATCATTCAGTATATGTGTCTGAGTGGGGAAATAACCGTGTGACTAAATGGATGGAACATGAAAAAACTGGGACTCTCGTAGCCGGTAAAGATGAATATGGAAGTAGTCTTACACAATTGCATGTACCTAAAGGAGTTGTTGTTGATCAATTGGGCACTATCTATGTGGTTGATGACGGAAACAATCGAGTCATGCGTTGGTTTAAAGAAGCCACACAAGGAAGTGTCATTGTTGGTGGAAACGGTGACGGAGAACAACTGAACCAATTCAAAGGACCCGTCGGCTTGTCATTCGATCGAGATGGCAATCTCTATGTTGTCGATTATGGAAATAATCGAGTACAAAAATTTAATATCAAATCCAATAAGTAAAAGACTAGGAAGACAAAAACAAAAACAATTTTTTTCTTATATTGCAAACCTCTTAATCATTGTATACACGTAATGTAAGCCTCGCTGAAATTCTTGTAAAATTATAATAAAATGTACTCTACTTATAAACAAAATATCTGACCGAATCCAGTATGACCCCATATCGTTTGTACGCAAGATATCCGAAACCTTGGAAATCTTGAAACATTTCGACATATTCTGTTCATTAAAAATGAATCAAACTCATTGAGAAACTCCGTTTTTCGATGTTCTTCATACTGGCAGACATAATCCAATGTCTAAAGATTCAATGGTTTTTTGCAAATCCTTGCTTTTTGCACTGATATCAGCACTATCGAAATGCAGCGGAAACATTTGAATCCTTGTAGACGATTGCTCCGGCAACAGTTTTCACCACTGAAAACGCCAAAGAATCCTTAGTTTCCTTGCAAATTCTAGTAATATCTGCTTACATCATAAACAAAGTATCCGATCAAATCCAGTCACACCTCACGCTGTTTCATCACAAGATGTCCGAAACCTTAGGAACATTGAAAAATTTCGACATATTCTATTCTTTAACGATCAATCAAAGTGGTTAAGGAATTTGATTTTTCAGGTTTCTGATGATCCCGGCGACATACTAATACCTGAAAAACCAATGGTTCTCTGGAAATCCTTGGTTTTGCATTAATCTTGACCGAAAAAAATGAAATGAAAGCCTTCAAATTCTTGGATTTCTTTAATTTGCCACCAATTCTGATCTGTTACAGTGTCATAGAATCATTGGAATCCTGGTTTTGCTTTGATTTCCAACAACTCCTGACTGTTCAAGACGTTAGACAACCATTGAAATCCTTGATTTCTTGATTCCCCTTCAATCCTACCAGAGATGAAACCGGTGTGGATTTTTGAAGACCGGTTGGTACACAATTTTTTCCAATAGAAATTCTATCTGTTGGATAGTGATGGTTGAGGTAATCGACTTCCACTGACGTTTTCATACGCATTCTGTACAAAATAGCATTAAGATCCTACAGTTTTGAGCTAGTTTATACAATAAAACCAGGAAAGAAAAAAGATAGATGGGTCTACCGATTACCAGCCGGTCTGGAATTCGTACCGGTCAGGGGCGGATCTACAGTGGTGCGGTCGGGGCGCCCGCCCCCTCCTTGGAAATTTATGTTACGTGCTAATTATTTTTTATTTTTTATGCGAGTTACAGAGACAAGAGTGCATTTCACAGTATTTTTGAGTTTACAGTGCTTGTATTCTGAAATTAGATTCGAGAGGAATACAATAACTTAGATATACATGTTGTTAATACGTTTATTTCTCTTATCAAATTTTTTTTTCTTTTATAATGAGACGTCTATTCATGTCATACAGATGACAAGCATTTGTGGAATAACAATGATAATCGACGGTTATGTCTTTAGCCCATTTGTGTTCATTGTTTCTCATATTGAAACAATCAACGATTATGACATTGGTCCATTTGAGCTCATTGTCTTAATGATTATTAAATATATGTGAAAAGTTGTAATTCATTGTTTTAAATCTAATGAAATGATGTCAATGAAAAAATTTAAAGATCTCTCTTCATTCGGCTTCACCTCCACCAGTCGTACAGGTGAAAAAGCGACAGTAACAGTTTTGAATGAAAACATAAACAGTAATACTGATACAAGTGAAGTAGCAACAAATATTTCAGTTGGTACTTCTGATTCGATTCTTGTTTCTTCGATCAACAATCATTTATCTCCAAATAAACAATCAGAAGCAACATTACCAGAAGCCACATCAAGTTTAGATTCGATGGAACTGAAAAATGATATTGGAAATTATATACATAATCGATTAAACTTATCGGATGAATTACGATACTTATTATTGACACAACATTTTGTTCCTGATGAAAAATTCAAGTGGCCTTTTGTTCAACGCAAGACAAACAATACTATTGAAAATCGATTTTTACGTCTACATCACTTAAATGACAACAAACCATGGCTTGTTTACTCACCGTCGAAGAGTGGCCTTTTTTGTGTACCTTGTGTTTTATTTGCCAAAGCAGCTGGTAATAATCACTTGGGTTCTTTTGTTCTTTCTCCATGTCAACAATATGGTAAATTATTAGGCGGCGATGGACAAATAATTAGACACAAGTTAAAAAATTATCACAATGATAGCATCCTGGATGCTGAACGATTTATTTCTGTATATGAAAATAAGTGCGATAGCGTCGTTGATTTATTAGTGAACAAACAGAAGCAAGAAAAAATTGAAAATCGAAAACGTTTAGTACCTATTATTAAAACAATTATACTCTGTGGTCACAACAATATTCCATTACGAGGACACAGAGATGATGGTAATTTAAATATCGATTCTATTGTTAGCGGTGAAGGTAAAGTAAACATTCTAGTGTTTTTAATATAAATATTAATTCTAGGTAATTTTCGTTCATTACTTCGCTATCGAATTGATGCTGGTGATTCAATATTAGAAAGCCATCTATCAACAGCTAGCAAAACTGCCACATACATCTCGAAAACAACACAAAACGAATTAATCGAAATTTGTGGTGACTTAATTCGAGAACAAATACTTGCTGAAGTAAAGCATGCCACATTCTTCACTGTAATCGGCGATGAAACTACTGATGTTAACACTATCGAACAATTTACATTTTGTCTTCGTTACGTATTTCAAAATAAAGTTCACGAAAAATTTATTAGTTTTTTACCAGCTGAAGATCGAACTGGTGAAGGTTTGGCCCGGTTGATTCTTGAAGAAATGAAAAATCTTGGTCTTAATCCGAATTTCATGGTAGGCCAGGCGTATGATGGATGTTCCGCGATGTCTGGAAAATTTAATGGTAAGCTTTTCGCTGGCAATTTATTTTAATTTACTGTTTTTTAACCTTTACATCTAACTCTGATATCTTCTTGTTTTATTTTTTAGGATGTCATGCACATATTAAAAAATTATTTCCAACAGCACTTTATCTTCAGTGTGCATCACATAGTCTTAACTTGGCCATATCAGACTCGTGTTTTATTATTATTATTCAAAATTGCATTGGTTCTATAACGGAAATCTACAATTATTTCAATTCGTCATCGAAACGAACATTATATCTCAAACAGATAATAAACAATTCAAATAAAAAAAAATTAGCAAGTGTTTGTGATACAAGATGGGTGGAAAGGCATGATGCTGTGATTACATTTGGACAATTGTACCCGTTCATTATGACTTGTTTTGAAAAAATTATCGAAGAAGAAACAGGTAAAAATCAAGCATTAGCATTTAACTATTTAAAAAATATTCAAAGTTCTTGTTTTATTATTTCATTATGCATATTAAAAAAATGTTTATCTATGACTTTGCCTATTGCTGCTGGATTACAAGCACCAGACAATGACATTATGGATTGCAAACGTTTAGTAGACGACGTCTTGTTCATGTTCAAACAAATGAGAAATGAAAAATTGAATGAAGAATATGGTGAAATACTTTCTGAAGTCAAACAATTGTGTGAACTATCAGGTAGGAGAACTGTTCTCATGAAACCATCAAACGTTCGAGGAATAAAACAGTATATATAATTGGTTTAATCTTATACGAAGAAACAGTAATTGCCAATGCAATTCAACAATCGATCAATTCAATTGAATTCTGAATTGAATTCATCAAGTTCTCCATTAAATTGACCAGATCTATCAAGACGTCAGAAATACGAGCTTAACTTCAGTGTTGTGATTTCGAATTTCTTTCAGGTACTCAATTGACGGTAATGCGAGGAGTTGGTCGACAAATGTATCGGCCAAATGCACCAGCACAAACACCGGAAGAATATTATCGAGTCAACTTATTTATTCCTATCATGGATCATTTCATTGTATCTTTAACTAACCGATTTAGTGCTCATCAATGGATGGCTTATAATGTGTCGCTCCTTATTCCATCAATGATTGAACATAAGTCTTTCGATGATTTGAAAGACTCTATTATTTTTTATGAAGCTTATTTACCATCACCACATTTAATTAAAGAAGAATTTCAATTATACAAACGAAAATGGCTCAATGAGGCACCAGAAGATCGCCCGAACAATGCTATTGATGCTTATGTTCGATGCAACGGTACCTTCTTTCCGAATATCAAAGTTCTTTTACAAATTTATGCCACGTTGCCAGTGACAACTGCCACAGGCGAGCGAAGCTTTTCAACATTAAAACTGGTAAAAACATATCTTCGAAGTACCATGAGTGCAAATCGTTTAAATGGACTTGCAATGATGTATGTGCATCCAATGATTAACATTGATATTGAACAAGTCATCGACAAGTTCTCAAAGCGAAAGAATAGAAAGCTGGACTTTGTTGTATAATTTATTTAATGGTTGTTGTTTCTAAGTTGTTCTTATTTCTAAGTCCTTTTTTGTTGCAATAGATCATAGCATTTTATGAATCATATAAATATGAACAGATGATAATAGAAAATCTTAGGAAAATCATCACGAATAAAGTCCACAACTTGATTGTATCCGCCCCCTCCTTCAAAATTTCCTGGATCCGCCACTGGTACCGGTACTGGACAGGACCGAACCGGCTGGTAACCGGGACCGAGTGTGGGTGTGAGTGTGGATGTGAGGTGCGGATGTATGCGTGTGGGTGTGGGTGAAGAGAAGACTAAGAGCCACACCCACAACCAAACCCACACCTGCGTCCACACCCCACACCCACACCCACACCCTTAAAAATTAAATGCTACGTAATGTTTTTTCTACAGAGAAAACAGCCTAAATTATTATATTTCGGTTGAAAGTCTTAGCTTTCAACAGTGCTTTTGAAGTCTGTATAGGAATAAAAACTTGATGTATTTTTCTATTATGACAAAAAAAGAACATGAATCAACAAAATTCAATACATAGGGAAATGGAATGAGAAAACTTTTTGGATAAGACTTTTGGAATGTCCGGTATTTGAATGTGCATCTTTGAAAATAGAAAATCTGTAGTTGAAAGTAGCATAGTCTTTTTCTAAAGACATTGTATTTCATTTTTTTTCATCAAATATGCGGTACACCATAGACAACTGGCCTGGCACTATTCTTTCCAAACTGGTGACAAACGAAAGAGATTCTAAATCACATTATAGAAGCTATAATTTAGATAATTAAAGAAACCAAATTTTCTCTATATTAGAGTAAAATCAGAATTTCGATCACATTCTGGAATCATGCGAATAAAAAAAATAAACTTCTAATTTGAATGAAGTTGAATAGTTAGAATTTGAATACAAAATTGTAATTCACCTACATGAGATACAATGTAATAGATAAAGCTAGAAGTTATTGCTTTCTATTCAGGTTAAGTCACTGTCATTATTATTTTTATTACAGTATTTATTTTTTAAGCAAAAATAGTCAAAAAAATCAGAATAGACAAAGTTAATTTTTATTTGGTAACACCTTTGTAACGAAACAATATGTGTAATCTATGAAATATTAATCTGAAAATTTATGGATATTTATACAAATTTCTTTTTCTTCAATGATACCTTCTAGACGAAATGTTTTCAATTTTTTTACATTCATATCGTTAATAATAACAAACACTTGAACATATATATGACAACCTAGTGGCTTTTCTTACGCTTCTCACTAAAAGAGTTTATAGTACTCTGGATTATTGTAAGAACATTTCTAGATTGACTACTTAGAAAATTACTTCCTACTATTACTTTATTTTTCGGAATATTATAATGAAGCTGCGTACAGTGCTAATTGATACAAGGGTGTGAGTGTGGGTGCCGGTCTTCTCTTCGCCTACACCCACACCTACACCCAAACCATATAAAAAAAGCAACTGTGCAAAATAAGCTTCCTTTTTAATTTTTGACTTGTATCTCAGTGATTGCTTCAGGGATATCACAAAGTGGTCAAAATGGGAAAATCAGGCTACGCCTAGTACATGGAGACTGTAATGTTCTTTGAACGAGACGAGTCACCCTCTGATAGGCTCCATGATCACAACATTTCTGAGTTTCACTCTGAAGAATACACAAGAGTTAGGTAGTCAAGATGTTTTCCTTTTATGTTCTTCTACGTATTATGAGGATAAATATTCTTACAAAATTCGGAGAAAAGAACATGACTAACCTACTATTTAGTATAAAGATTAATTTAAAGATGTATATAGAAATTATAGAGAGTCACAGACAATAATCGAAACATACCTCATTTGTTCATACCATGTTTCTCAAGAAGGATGCTAGTGATAGTTAGTTTACACATCTGAAGTTATCTTGATATTTTCCATTTTAACACTACTATATTGATAAAATATCCCTCGATTTGCAAAGTTCCTGCTGAACAAATGAATAATGGTCACAGCAACAAAGAGAAAAGCAAATCAGCACAAATTTTATTTGAGGTGTGGATCTTTTGTTCACCCACTTCCATCCACACCCACAAATATATCCTTTTACCAAGGACATGATCATCAACCTTTTAGTATTGAGATAGAACTCCGATGTAATCCTTCTTATACTATGTTAAAACTAAAATAGAATAAACTTTTGAAGTTAGAGAATAAGAATTATTTTAAAAGGCTTTTACTTCTGCATCTCTACTTTTGTTAAAAAAACTTGCTTATTGTTCTATCCTATTGAAATGAAGCGTTTTTCTTCTGATTTATCCCGCAATTGAAGAGACAAAATCTATCTATTTTGTTAAGATTAGACACAATTATTTATTCATTTTGACAAATAATAGAAGTTCTAATAAAATTAAAATAACTTTTCATATTTTAAATTGAACTATCAAATGATGAACTTGTTTGTTATGCTCAAATTGAACGTTTCGTTCTAGCCAAAACATTGTTGAGAAATTACTCTGCAGTTCAGTGAGTATTGTAAGAGTATCAGCATAATAATCGAAGAAAATTAATTCAAATGTTTGTAACTTAAAACAATTTTCTGCTAATAGCATTTCCCATTTGTTTCCATTGGCAAGGAAATAACTACATGTAAGTCTCAATTGATTTAAATTTGAAACTTGTTTTAGGATAAACTGAACATCTTCAAAGGTCCAATCCCGATCTAATTGTAAATTCAAGTAAACACAGTTTGACAAAGCAGAGTTTAATGATAGTCTTGTTACTGTTGTTGTTCCGTCAAAATCAGTAAATAACCAATTTGTCTTAATCGATTTAATGTGCGGTATACATGGAAGCAGCTGAACAAATTCGTCGTGATAAAGACAAGGAAGAGTTAGAGATTGTAACATTGTTTGTTTCGTTGCTGTTGGTAAGAAGAGCATAGCACGATTATTTTTACTTCGAAAAACAAAATGTTTCAGAGAATGAAAAACGCTATTCTCAACGAACATTAGTTCAAGTAGTCGTTTCAAACATTTATCATGATGTGCGATGCCTCCCACTTCAATATGTAAGCACTCAAAATGTGGCAAAATTGATAGTTGTTCTAAGAGTAGAATTGAACAATCGCTCATCAATGCACCTAAATAGACCAATGAAAGACATTGGAGTTGACTGAATGTATTAATCGGCCATAGAGTAAAGAATTCTTCAATTTGAAATTCTTTATAGAATTTCATCGATTTCACGTTCGCACGATTGTTGATTGACGGAAGGATTACACCGGAAGAAAGCTCATAGTTTTCCTTTGTTGCAATCTTCAAATACAGTGGAGTACTTTCATAAAGTATTGCAGTTATTTCTGAGTTTAGGTTGTCAAACATAAGATACAGTTCAATTGCATCAAAGAATTTGAAAACCTCACACCACAACTCAGTTGGAAAGATTTCAATTGTACTAGAAAGATTTGTGTCTGACATTCTGCCTGCAAAATCTAAAATAAATGAGGTAAAGAAATTACATATATAACAGATTAGTTCCGTTTAAATTCAACAAAATTCTGACTTACTACCTCAAACGTACATAGAATCCTGTAAGAATGATGTTATTCACTTAAACAAGCAATCCTTCACGTAAAAAAGAAATATTTTTTTAGAAGTATGTTTTGAAAATATCAAACACTTCTGAAAGAAAAAAAAAGGAGAGAGAAAAGAACACTACACGATGTACTTTCGCAATGAGAACGTAAGTTTCGACATTACGATTGCTATGTGTCATTAATATTCTTACTCATTTCACAGAACAGATAAGACAAAGAAAAAAAAATGAAATCAAACAGACGACACAACCGGCTATGCTCAGTTATGCATTTAACTTCATCTTGAAAAAATTTAGCTTATCATATATAAAAAGTGTACTTTAAACCAAATATCATTTATTTATCGAGAGAGAACAAATACAACAAAACTATACTACATTCGATCTATGTTCATACTTCCGACAAAAAAGATTAAAGTAGATGACCATCAAAGAGATGTTTATTATTGATTCTACTTAAGTGTGACCATTGTTCTATTTCAATATTAAGAAGATTCTGTTGAGGAAAATTAATATTCTTTTTTTTGAAAGTACACAACAATGATGAAAAAGTTTCATGGTTCATAGGTTTAACATATGACACAGTTTTCTTCGTAACCATTTCTAATTTTATGTTAAAATGACGAATCGTATCTATATTATTGCATTCGAATCTTTCTTCGCAGTATTCGATGATAATTAAAAGAGCATATTTCTCAAATAAATTGCATGATTTTCACATTGGAAGTGATTGATTGTTTGCCTTAGATACAGAAATCATCCTACGTTCTTGCACACATACTTGAGAAGCGAAAAAAAATCGATGACTCATACAAAAAACATTGTATTGTCTATGAACATATAATATATAAATGTGTCGACAGCTTTAGTACAAAGTTTTGCAAGCGCTGTGAAAAAAAACTATTAAACAAAATTAACAATCATGATTAAAATACAGTATCATAAAGAAGATTTAATACTGATTAAAGAATTGTTCCCAGAGACCTTCGCAACTTCTTTGATGAGGATAATGTTTCACATTGCCAAAACGCATCGGATGTAATTCCATATAATTTCCAATGACTTTATCCAAATCTAATTCTCGAAAATGTGGCCATTTAATATTTGATACATGATTTAAATTTGACAAACCAGATAAGTTTATTGGTAATGGGTTCCTGAAGAAAAGGGAAATTATAAGAACATATTGTATAGAGCGTAAAAGATACATAGCAAGCCTCTTATAAAACTTATAGTGTCTGTGAAAAAGAAGTTAATATCTTCTTTCTATAGCAAAATTTTTCTTTTGAGATGTGGTTCTCCTAAAGATGTTTCAGTTTTCATTCATGAATGAGAAACGTCTCTTTCATATCATTATATGCAAAATGATGAAAAAATGAGTATTGTCAAGCATTTACTCTGTTTTAGCAAAATTTGTCCAAATATTAATCATTAATAAGCTAAAGTAATAATCAATCCATGAGTATTGTTCAGGATATCGTAATGGTAATCCAAAAATAAATATCAATTCATCTCCATGACAAACACCCATCCAACCACGACAATTTTCAATGAATGGAATAGTTGGTTTATGTGTTAACTGATAAGAATAAACATGATGATGTTTTGACAATCGGGCATAATTTCTAGCAAGATAATATGTTGGACATGTTAAACGAAAATCACCTATAGCAGTAGCAACAGCACTTTTAAGACCATCAACATCATTTTCATTGATATGAGATAAATAAAAGTTCGAAATTAAATTGTTATCTATTTCATTGTAATTAATTAATTTATGAATTGTTTCCATTGCATTTTGTTTCGTAAAATTAAGATATTGATCACTTTTAATTAAATCTGTTAAATAAAATGAACCTTCATCTTTAACAGTTCCAAATAACAGATCAATATTTTTATTCAGATTTCCAGTTTGAAATACATTTGCCAATGACTCAGAAGGCATGAAATTATCCCATACACTTCCATTTGAATAAATTGGAAAAAATTTCTCATTTTTTAACGTATAATTAACAATTGATTTAGGATGAATATTTCTTAAACAATTTAACCATTGATCATGATTTTGAGAACAATTGAATGCTTTACTCATCTTAATAGCTAATTCCAAATTGTTTTCTTTAGTGGCATTCTTCCGATGTAAATATTGATATTTATAAATACTGCCTGATTGTAATATAGCACGATGAAATAACTTATTTGATAATGGAGATACAATATGTGCTGCTACGGATGTACTTCCTGCACTTTCTCCAAATATTGTGACACTATTTGGATCACCACCGAATGATTGAATATTTTTTTGAATCCATTGTAATGCTAAATTCTGATCATACCAACCGACATTACCAGGTGCTGTTTCATTATTGCCATATAAAAATCCAAATGCATCCAATCTATAATTAGCTGATACAAATACAATATCACCTAATGCTGCTAATACTGAACCATTATAGCCATCTCTATCGATATAACCTTGTGTAAAATATCCACCATAAATCCAAAACATAACTGGTTTAAGTGTTTGATTTTCCTTGTTAACAGGTGTCCAAATATTAAGGTATAAACAATCTTCGCTCTCTTGTACTTCAGGCGGTGCTTTTGATTTTGTTCGATAACAAGCTATACGAGGATTTGTAGCGTTCCATATCCCATTCCAAGGTTGTGTTGGGCGTGGTTTAGAAAAACGAAATTCATTAATTGGTGGTAGACCAAATGGGATACCAAGAAATTCATTGACATGTTTAGATAACACGTCAATTTGGTTACCACTTACTTTTCCAAGTGGCGTTTCGACAATGATGCAATTGTATTGATTCAAGATAGTGATAAAATAAAGTAGAATACCATTTATGAACAGCATTTTCTAGAAATATATCAACTCGTAGTGTTTAACTAAAAATAAAAATGTTATTCATAAACTCATTGTGACGATTTTTAGATAGATAAAAAGAGCTAGCACTGATGTAACTACGCTTCATTGTATTTCTTCTTATCAAGAATCGCATTGCTTTCATACAAAACATAGACTTATATACTGAACAGAGGTCGAAAACGAACCGATCCGAACCGAACTATAACGGTTCGG